TCTCTCTCTTACACACACACATACACAGACTTTCTGTCTCGAGGGTCACTTGCTTTACTCTCCACTCTTTCCATTACACACACACACACACACTGAGATTACAGGAATGGACGTAACTGGCGCGTGCGTGTCCTATGTGTGTGTGTGTGTGAGTGTGTGTGTGCGCGCGCGTGCGTTGGGAAATTGATCCAGTGTGACTCATGTTAAAGCCGGGTGACCAGACTGTGCATTGGATCCTCGCCTCATCAATCATCCCCGGCTGCCAGGCTATGCGCAGAGTGTGAGTGTGTGTGTGTGTGTGTGTGTGTGCGTGCGTGCGTTAGTGCGTGTGCGCGTGTATGTACCACATCCTCTGTTGACCCACACTGCGTTCGTTTGTGTCAACCAAACGCATCCATTCATGCGTTTCAAAGGTCACGTCAAAGCAATGTCGTGTGCAGATGCTCCACATCTCTCTCATGAACGTGTAATTGAAGAAAAATGAACGCAACGCGTCTGGACCGTTGGTGTCTGCTCTCTAAATCTTTTTTTATTTATTTATTTTTTTACCCCAGCAGAGCAAAGACCCTGAACACCCCACGACTCTTTTTCCCTTCAGCGCTCTGGGGCTGTAATGATGATGTCCTGGGCAGCACAAATCTATAACAACATAACACGTTTACACACACACACACGCGCGCGCGCACACATTGCCAGACATATAGATGCCCAAACACACGCACTGCTGCCACAGCACAGACAGAGAAGACACCCACGGAGCGCACAGACGCCCGCACACAACAGGGCGAAGAGGAAGGGTAAAAAGGAGAAAAGAAATTCGGGCATTAAAAAAGAAACTTTCCGCTGTTGCTCGGGTCATAGGCGGCTCAGTCTTAGTGTGTTTAAACATCTCTCACCTTGGTTCAAAGTGATCGCCAAAGTTAGGATCCACAGGGCTGGCATGGTTCAGCCGAGCGCATTCAGATTCCTCCCCTCGGCTCTGCTTCCCCGAAAAGACACCATCAATTCCTCCCGAGCGGGTGAATTTAACTGGAATCCTCTTTGAGTCATGAGAGTGAAAGAAGCCAAATTTAGAGGAAAAAATCCGATGCCTCTTTTCCTCTCTCCTCCTTTCCTTTCTTCAACTCGTTTCCCTGTTTTTCCCGTGCGTAAAATAAATCTGTCTCCACTTTTTTTCTTTTTTTGTTGTTGTTGCCTGCTCTCTCTCTCTCTCTCTCTCTCTCTCTCTCTTGGTTTCTCAGTATGCGTCTCTTTTCCTCTCTGCGCTCTAGATTCCCATTTAAACAGGACCGAATTCCTCTCTCCCTCTCTGCCCCCCCTCCCCTCCCTCCTCTCATACAATCAGTAGCACACACCTCCTCCCTCCCTCCTCCTCCACCTCCTCCACGCCTCCCAGCTCCAAATCTCCGCTTTGGACTCCACGGAGAGGAGGTGGAGGGCGCTCCAGCGGCCGCAGCGAGAACTGCGCTTTTTAAACATGGAAACTTAAACCATCTGGAGCTTTAAACACAACACTGAGTGCAATTTAAACAGAATATTCCCTAATAGGTTATGTTTGAAAATCTATTTAAATTTGTATCCTCACAGAATGGATCTGATAGTTTCAGCAGCTTTTGTGTTTCTTATTTAAAAATAACGCAATGCATGTAGACCAGTTTTACTGTGATTACAAACAATAATGATGTAATAATTTACTTATAATTATAGGCACTGTTTTTATAAAGTCACAAATATGCTCTGTTAGTAAGAAATACTAAAGATTTAAGTTGTCAGAGCCTTTAAGTATCAGAAAACACAAAAAAGCCTCAATCAGTCAATACTGGTCTTTCAATCTTCAATAAAATATTTTCTTGTGATTGACCACAGCTGCTGAATGTTATAACTGTTATAGTTTCATTCAGCTCATAGTATTATAGAGTGTCTGTGACTTTATGGTATCACTGTGATATTTCCATTACAGTCTATTCCTCTGATCTAGGAGGTGTGTCATAGTGCATGAACTAAACTGATAATAGTGACCTCATCACAGTATATGATCATTAATATACTGCATCCAGTGGTGTGTTTAAAGTCTTTTTAGAAAAGCATGAGGTCAGATATAACATTGTCAAAACATTTCAAAGAACAAAAAGCGATACTAGCACATATATTCTTACAGATACAAGACTTAGCAGTTTGAAATATGGCAATATGTTGCAGATTATACATTTGGTGAAATCTGAGTTTTAATCAAAATTGTGCTATTCACCACTCGAATGACGTCAGCATTGGCACATCACACTTGTATTGGCACCTACAGTAATGTATTTTGCTCAGTGTTAACTCGCAGCTGAAAATACTTCTTTTGTACACAGAATAAGTCGGTATTCAAGAACAAGTTCAGCAGAAACAAATCCTCAAACAGATGGACAGAGTTCTGAATATCCATCTGTGTGAGGATCGGGACTATTATTGCCTAATTAACTGGTAGCATGAGTACAATGTAAGGCTGATTATTAACCTCTGTGCCAGTATCAACATGTGGCAACAATATTCCCCAAACCACAGTCTACACTGAAGCAGTGGAGACAGGGGAAAGATAAGAGGGATGAAAGGAAACCACAGAGAGAGAGAGAGAGAGAGCAGATGTATGTTTTTGTCTGAGAGAAAGAAAGCATTATTTAAGCATCTATTTTAGAAACAATGAGATAAAGACTACTGCCATTATGGAATGTAATTGCATCTAATTCAGAGAGAAAGGCAGCCAGTGTTTTTCGGAATTTTATTATCAACCAATCTTTTATGTTTTAAACAAGGACTTTAAATTATTGCATTGTACTGCCCTCTGTTGGGCATTTTCTTTAACTGAATAGTACAAAAAATGATGAAGTCTGGCTTTTTGTTTACCTGTTGTCTGCAGTCAGTGATCAGTGGATTTATGAGCTATTTCATTACACCCATTACTTACTGAAAAGAAAATGTTCATAACATTGGTATAATCAGTGAACAATGCTTCATAAAAATGGAAGATATTTACTCTTTTGAAAAAAATAAAGTCCAAATTCAAGCAAACATAAGCCACTGAAGTCTTTGTTTATATAATATACAAACTTATTATACAATATCAGAGATATAAATACTAAGATATGGGAGATATTGATGTTCATGTGAGCTTTTTAGTTTTCAAATGTTACATCTTTCTGAAGCGGTGTAACAAACTGTGAGGTACCGCAACAAGAAAATGACCGAAATCAGGAAACAGATATATATTTTTGTATTTTTGAAGTTTCTGAACAGGAAGAACCAATGACAAGACATGTGAAATTAACCCAAATGCATGTTTATTGAAGTCAACAACTGAACTGGTATTTTAACAAAAAAACCAAATCAAACAAATACTGTATGAACATAACAGCCAACAGACCCACACCCACCACAGCATGCGGTCGGGTCTCGCCTCGATGACATCATCAGCCATAGTACAAATTAACATACATGACAGCACTATTCTCATGTGATATGGATATTTATTCAAAAGGAAGACTTGTCATCCAAAATAATGATCCTGAAAACAAAGATGTTTTTTTTAGTCATCGAAATAATACAATTTTTGTGAATGCAACACATGTAAGGGTGTCTCCGGAGTCTGTTTGGGTCAATTAATACACACCTCACACTCATACACAAACACACATACACACACATATGTACAAATACACCATAGTCACAGACATCATGCCTGCCGTGCATATCCAGATATGTGTGTGGATGTGTATGTACCAAAAGTGTGTGCGCAACATGTGTATGGGTGCGCTTGTAAGAGTATCCAGTAAAGGCAACACTATATACATGAAATTATATAAAAATGGTAGTTGAAACAATAAAATACGCAAAAACCAAATCTCTAACCTTCAAGTTTTGGAAAATCTAATTTAAAAAAAAGAGGTTGAAATGATTATCAATTGAAAGTAATACATTTAAGATTATGCACACCTTTTACAAAACATAATTTAAAAATCAATTTGTTTATACTACAAAAAGAAAAGATGACTGGCAGCTAGTGTGCGACTGCCTGAAGAGGAGTTGGAGTGGTCGAGTGGTGGGGCAGGACAGCTCGGTCCGACTGAAGAGGGAAAATAAAAGCTGCTGTTTGCTGGCATCTGGTGACAGCTAGTCATTACTGCACTGATGCAATGAAATATGAATTAGACTGACTGCGTGTCCCATTTCAGCGCCATTATACCCCTACATCGCTTGTTGGGAGAAGCAGAATGAGTCCTACTTCGTCAGTTTTCTCAGTGTTATTCTGAGGGCTTGCAGTGTTGAGAAGGTACAGACGGCTTTAACTGGGACACGGGTTATGTTTGCAGATCAGAGAACAGCAGGGAGGTCAGTCGGGCAGACCGCCGCTCTTGTCTCAGGAGAGCAGCTTGTCGGCACTGCTCATCTCCAACACTATCTACATTTCCAACCGTTGCTCATGCAAGCTACATGCTAGCACATTAACTAAGACGAAGGACAGGACGATAAATTACAGGCAAATACAGGTCCATTAGTTTTTAAAAGACACTACACTTCGTTGAGTATGAGGCAGGTATTCATTTCTCCATTCACAGAGCAGAATTAGATTGGGGTTAAATACAAATCAAAGTTTACTCTTCAAAGTAGGACAATAAACTCTGTGAGACAAAGCCCGTCCTCTGGTCTGCAGACATAAAGACTGTGAAAAGCTGAAGAGTGTTGCAGAGCAAATGTGGGTTAAACGGCGTTCTGAATTCTTTGAAAAATTCATCTCGGTTTGTTTAAAAGCTGTCTGGTGCACGTCTAAACAATCTCCTGTAGAATTCAAACACCGTTCTAGGCCAAGTTTAATCAACTTAGCAACCCCAAATTCCAACCAAGAACCCTAGGAAGAAAAAGGAATACAACAGCTGACCCTGCTTCAGGTCACATTACCATTTTGTAGTATAGCTAGCTTATAGACACACTAGCCTGGCCACTTGCTTTCAAAGCAGCTAGCTAGTTAGCAGTTAACGACAATGCGGGGAAAGGTACGAAAAGCACTATCCCTGAACGTTCCCAAAAAGGGTGTACAAAAACTATCACAGACATAACTGTCTACGGGTAGACTAACAACAGCAAATGGATTCTTCTCCAAAACACTCTCAAACAAAAAAAAGAAAAAGGAAAAGTGCTGCAGAGAGCCATCAGCGCACGCCAGCAAACCAAGAGGAGGCGCTACTTCTACTGTACGTTTACATGGCCTCCTGAATGAGAGACCAGCAAGGAGAATTGGACATCGATCAGAGATGGAGGGGGGAGGAGACGAGGGGGAAGGAGTGATGAGGAGAGCAGAGGAGAGACTGGGTGAAGGTGGATCACGACGCAGACGGGATGATTGATTAAAGAATGAAAAGAAATGGGCGAGCGGAGCGGAGGGGGGGAAAAAAAGAGAGGACATTTAAGTTCCTAAATGACTTTCTTCAGTGTTAGTGCTGCCCAGACTCCGGCTCGGCACCTTGCCCACCAAGCCAAACCTTGGCATGTGTACAGTCTGGAGCCCAGAGCCTCTTAGTTAGATTGCAATCAATTTCCAAGACCGGGCCAAGTGGAGCTTGCCAGTTCCAAGGCGAACTCCCAACCTTAATAAAACACTGTTCATTTATGGGAACCTTTTGCTAAGCTGACAAATGATTCCTGCTTGCAATAACACACACACAGAAAGAGAAACAATAACACAAAGGGGTTTTTTTTGCCAGGAAGTTTGTCATAATGCATGTAGGCAGTCCTGTTTGGCCCTGTAGTGGAAAGCAAGCAAGCATTTTCACCTCCCTGAAGCAGCGACCGTGCCAGCTTCTTAGAGGAAGTCATGATATCACTGCTCAGTGAATTTAGCGCCAGGTGGCCTCGCCAAGACAAGCAGTCTGCTGCAGGGAGAAAAATGTTGGGAGCTGAGCGCTGCGTTCTGCGGGGGCCGGGTGGAAGGAGGACCAAATCGGACCACATGCGCCGGGCAGTGATTCTCCGGGAAAACTCCAACAAACACTTTCGACACCTTTCGAAGCTGTGTTCGACCGAGGTTTTGCTACAGTTTAGTGTTTGGGTCGCAGAGGGCTGACAAAACAGGGAGAAAATGGGGCATTGAATGCGCAGAGGAAGAAGCAAATAAACAAACAGCATTAAAAACCCTAAACCTCAAAATTAAAATACAAGTTGGAAATTAGATTCATGGACTCCTGGACTGACAAACGGACAGACACTGTAAACTGTTAACACTGACAGTAACACACTGAGACACTGAGGAGAGAAAATCTCTCATAAGTCCCAAAAACCAAAAAGAATAAAAGAAAAAGAAAAAAAAAGGAAGGAAAACATTCCTCATACAAATATTTGCAGTTAAGGTTAGTTTTCATCGCAACGTCATCATCAGTATTTTTATATTTTTTCTCCAGATATTGATAGTTTTCGACTCTGCATTTCCACGCATGTAATAAAAACAGGCAGGCTTTTTTTTTAGAGTATATAAGTTACTGTAATGCAGTAACAGACTGTATGAGATACAGGAGAGAGGGAGATGTAGAGAGAGAGAGAGAGAGAGAAGAGGGATAGAAGAAGGAGAGACAG